ATCTTGATATAAAAGATTCTCTATTTTGACCGATATATGCCTTGTATACCCTACTATTATTTATTATTTATTATTCTTCTTCTTCCATTTCAAGGTGGCGTGATCTTGGGCATTTTAACTGCATAACCTCATATTTTTTGTACATACTTTTGGTAACATTTATGAATTCTAGTTAGCCTTCAGAGCGAATAAATCTCTAGACTTTTACATACTAAGCAAAAAACAAAACACTACACTTGAAAAGGACACAAGGGATTAACAAGAAAGGTAATTGCAATACTTGTATTACTATGTTTGAATCAGTCTAGTGATTTATCTGTATATACACAACTATTTCAAAACAAGGGTTTTTAGTAAAATAGTTATTATAATATGTATGTGCAATGAACATTTCCCTCCCGCTAAGAATTAGTAATATGTGTTATTATCTAGCAAAGTGATTTGATAAATATGTTCTGATAATTGTATAATCTATCTAGAGACTTGTTTGTTGTAACAGAAAAAAATTGAAAGATGTTATTGGAAACATTTATTGTGATGTTTAATTTTAGCAGAAAATATTTAAAAAAAATAGTTATATTTGTACCATTAGAGATCTATGACTGATAAACTGGTCTCTATATTGTGAATTTAAAAACTATTGGGTGTAGATTTTTGTGAAATTTATTTTTATTTTTACAAATAAAGTTTTATTGATTTTTCTAGTCTTTTATTGAAGTAACTCAATCACACAGTTTTTAATTATTTAAATTATGTGCCCATAAATACTTGTATAGCAGAAAGTTCCTTCTTCGAACGGATTACGCTGCTCTAAAATGGCTCTTACAATTCCGTAATTCAGAGGGCCGGATGGCAAGATGGTTAGAACGACTAAAGAATAGGATTACAAGATATAACACAAGGCTGATGCCCTTTTAAGACAGCCATACAGTATAAATTCTAATCACTGTTTTAAATTACTCTGCAAAAGGTTCGAGAACGGTTCTATTGGGTAAACTGTAAAAATGATGTAAGAAGATGGTGCCGCAAATGTAAACTGTGTGCAACCAATAGTGGTCTAGTTGGTAAAAAGGGGGTACTCATGAAACATATAACAACTCATGAAAAAATAGTATATAATAGTATACAGTATATAATAGTATAGTATTAATGTTGGTAATCATATGGAAAGAGTAGCAATCGACATTGCAGGTCTATTTCCAGAAACATATGATAGAAATAAATAAAAAAAAATATTTCAAATCCTTTATAAAAGCTATATAATAAAATACCCAAACGGGCTATATCACAATTACATTACAGAACGTTTTCGGAACGTAAATTCCATCATACTATAAATTTAAATACATATGTTAATATAAGTACACAATAAAAATCCCATTTATTTTTGCTTTTCATTTTATTAATTTTAAGTTCCCTTTAGGTCCTGTATACATCCTCATTTAGGTCCTATATTAGTCCATGTGGACGTACAATAGATGTCCACAATACATCCTTCTTAGGTCCTATCCGTATTAAGTTCTGTATATGTACTATGTACGTCCCCATGAACATCCCTGGACGTCCAGGGGACGTACTTTTTGGTAACATTTAGGTCTTATTGGACGTCCCGGGGACGTCCAAATTATGTAAACGGATGTCCGGACATTTAATGAGGTACATCCTTTGGAGGTCCATGGGACGTACTTGTGCTGTTTGGGGAGGTGGCTATACCGCTCTGACGAAATCTAAAGAGGTCGAAATACGTATAAGCAGTTGCCACCCTCTGTATTGGAACAAAAATTTAGTACCGTCTTTATATTTTATTTCTTTACTTCGTTTGGAGTACCAGAAATTGAGTTCACTACGAATTTTGACCATGATAAACGACATGTGGAATGCAATCTTAGATTTCCTTGTCGAGTTATATATCAAGCTGTTTGCTTTGCAAGTTTTAGAAAGCACGGTGGTCAAAATTTGAATTCGATTTCGCCAGGTAGAAAACGTTTGATTTCTCTTTTTGAAATGAATAAAATTAAATGGGATGTCATAGGTATCAGCGAACTTAGAGAGTTCTAAGTATACGTTCCAACAGCAGACCATACAGATGAAGAAATTGAAATATTTTATGACGATGTATCTACTGCGCTTAATGATTCTCGTACTCAATTTACAATTTTATGTGGAGATTTCAACGCAAAAAAAGGTGTAAAAGGAGCAGAGCTAGAAACATCCTTGGGAAAATTCGGTTCCTCAGGAAGAAAAGAGGAGAAACGCTACTAGAATTCCTTTTTATTTTCCTAGGATTTCCTTTTACAAAAAAATGCACGGATGATGGACCTGGGAAAGTCAAAACGGTAGAACAAGGAACGAAATCGACTACATAATAAGTGACAAAAAACAAATAATTAAAGATGTAACAGTACTCAACAACTTCACCACAAGCAGTGACCACATAATGATACGAGTGAAAGTTCAAATCAACACAAAAAGAGAAAGAAACATAATGATTAAAAATAAATCTCGTGGTATCTGGACGCCTCTATTAGATAGCAACCAATATCAGGCACATATTAATAATAAGCTACTACTGCATGAAACCTGCGAGAACGATCTTAACGACTTAAATAATTGCATCTTAAATGCCGTACAAGAAAGTCACCGAGTGAACTGTCCTAAAAGAAAATCAGATAGTAAAATAAGTCCATATACTAAAACGCTGCTGGATCAAAGAAGACAAATGAGAAGCGATAAGAATGCAGACAGCCATACTCTAAGAAAAATGAATAAAACTGTTTCGCAGGCAATCAGGAGAGATTCATGATCATGAATCAAGGTTCCGAACTAATACCAGAAATAAAGGTAGATGAGCGTTAAGAAAAAATGAAAAATAACAAAGCCCCAAGAGAGGATTGAATTGTAATAGAATCCATCGTAAATGGAGGATATATACTAATAAATCAATTAAGGAAACTGTTTAATCTATGTTTGCAGCAAAGAGAGGCGCCCAAAGAATGGAACGATGCTATAACCATCCTTTTACTATAAAAAATGAGATACAACTTACCTAGAGAATTATAGACCTATTAACCTGTTGAACCACATATGCAAGTTCTTCACTAGATTAGTGACATCAAGATTTAGGAAAAATTGGATTTCTACCAACCGAGAGAACAGGCAGGATTCCGATAAAATTATGATACCAATAATCACCTCCATCCAGTAAAGATGCTCATTGAAAAATCTATAGAATACTACAAACCTCTTGTCCTCACTTTCATAGATTTTCATAAAGCGACACGATCGAAATAGACAGGCTTATAGAAGCAATGAATGACAGCAGGATTGACCATAGGTATAGTGAATTTATTTACAATATTTACAAAAATGCTACTATGACTGTTAAGATACACGATAAAACCCGACCAATAAAAATAAAACGTGGGATAAAGCAAGCGTGGGATACATTGTCACCGAAATTATTCATAACGGCATTAGAGTATGCCTTTAAGATGGTCAATTGGGACCACAGAGGAGTAACAATAGACGGCGAAAAACTTAACCATCTCCGTTTCGCAGATGACATTGTCCTTATCACAGATAATTTAGGAGAAGCCACAGATATGTTAAATGAATTGGATTTTGCATCTTCGAAGGTGGGCATCAGAATAAACTTGTCCAAAACCAAGTTTATGATAACTATGGTCCCCAATGGCCATTTAACTATTCAAAACAAAGTGGTAGAACTGGTGGAAAAATATACGTATTTGGGTCACGGAATAAAAATCAGCAGGGATAACCAAACATGCGAAATCCAAAGACGAATTACGTTAGCATGGGCACCATTTGGAAAACTGCGAGACACAATTAGGGTCAACATACCAATTAGCCTCAAAAGAAAAGTATTTGACCAATGCGTATTACCGGTCATGACCTATGGGGAGGGAACTATCACTCTAACCAAGACTACGACTTCGAAATTGAGAGTGGCACAGAGACAAATGGAACGATCTATGCTGGGAGTGACGTTGCGGGACAGAATAAGAAACGAAAATCTGCGAAGAAGGACGAGTATTGCTGTTGTGTTGGACGCATAGCGGAACTAAAATGGAATTGGGCAGGCAATGTAGCGAGAATGCATGACTTACGATGGACGAGCAAAATTATACATAGGCCAAGATGTCAAGAGCAAAGAAACGTAGTAGAGGAAGACCACCTACACGATGGGCTGACAACATCAGCCGTATCACGAAAAATTTGCAACAAAGAGCACAAAATCGCAAAGAATGGAGGACTTTAAGGGAGGCCTATGTTCAGCAGTGGACGTGATAAATGAAGGCTGGATGATGATGATGATGATGACTTATGGACAAACTGATGGATAATAAGTAATCATGACAGTTTTTACTGTTTCACATATTTCACAAGCTACCGTAAAATCGGGTGAAGTGATACAATGGGGTAAACTGATACAAAATGCACGGGTTGTCAAAAAATCTCTAAAAAGTCTAAATAAGTATTAATGTCCTTGACAGTCACCTGATTTTTCCTGCCAATTGTCATGCATGTTTGGTTTGTTTGTTTTTGAGGTTCATAGTCCAAAAAAAGGAAAAGAAGAAGTTTTTGAGGTTATATTGTGCAGTTTTGGAATGTGTCGGAAACTTTGCTTGCGGAACAATGACCAAACATTTCAATAAGGATGAATTTGTCGCATAAGGTAAGGAATATATCAAGGATTCATAATATGTAATTGCAATTTCAAAATCGAAACACGTTTTCTAAGAAAATAAAATTTTAAACTTTTTAGTCCCTACCGGGACTATCGGTATCACTTCACTCCAAAGTCCAAACTAAAATTCCAATTAGATTAGGACAACCAACATAACCAATTTGTAGTTGGCATTTGATGTAATGTAAAAATACTACTGATAGTGTTGCCATATTATAAAATATTTCTTACTGTAACATCTAAAATTCAAAATCGTATAAGAACACAATATATAATTTCAGATAAAATAAACATGCCAAGGTTTTACAAGAGACCCCCTGGGACAAAACCTTTAAGAGAATATAATACAGACGATTTAGAAAAGGCTGTGAATGCAGTAAGATGCGGAAAATTACCTTTGCGTGCTGTTGCAGAAAAATATAATATTGACAAAATGAAGATTTTCCGAAAAATCAAAAATATCCACCAAAAGCAGCATGGTGGGCAGTCAACTGCAAGTGAGTTCCATGGAGGAGTCTGTTTTGAAAAGTAGTTAGGGCTCCATAGCCATATAAACATAGATATGTTATAATAAAAAAGTTATTCATTTAAAAAAGGTTATCAAAACATTTCTTTTTTTTAGATAAAATCATCCTTCTTGGAGAATGGGGTTTCCCATTAACGTACTTGGATCTGCGTCTGGTTGTCAAAGGATATTTGGACAAACAAAGGAGGACTTTTACGAAAGGTAAAAATAACTTACCAGTTGAGGATTAGGCTATTTCCTTCCTCAAGAGACACAAAGAGCAGCTTAGCTCAAGAATGAGCCAAGATATCAAAAGGGTACGACCAGGCGTTTCTGCGCAAATAATAAATGAGTATTTTGACAATCTTGAAGAAACTCTTAGGGGTGTCCAGCCTTGTAGCATCGTTAACTACGATGAGACAAATCTGACCGATGATCCAGGCAACAAAAAAATTATTTGTGGAAGGTATCAAAAGTAAACGACTTTGCAAAATCTGCAACGAGTTTAATGTTTTCTTGCAGTGGTGACGGTAAATTGTTACCAATTTACGAAGTATACAAAGCCTAAAATGTGTATGATTCATGGCGTTTGGGAGGTCCTAAGAGCTCACGTTATGGGGGTACAGAAAGTGGCAGGTTTGACCAAATCCATTTTGAGGTCTTTTATTTTACAGTAGCATTACTATTCTTGCAGAAACAGCCGCAACCGAGAGTTCTCATAGGAGACAATCTCTCAAGCCATTTTTCTAAACTGTTTTAACATCATGTAATGATAACGAAATCATATTTGCTATGCTTCCCAATCTCATCTGGCCCAACCTCTAGATGTGGCCCTTTTTAGACCATTAAAATGTGGAGGTCACTGCTTCAAAAGTGGAGAAAATAAGGTAACCAGAGCTCGCTAAAGTAAGATCCATTTTCCACCAATGTTGAAAAAACTTGTTGACGAGCTGACTTAAAGTTTGGTGACAACATTAGAAGTGGTTTTAGAAAAACAGGTATTGTTCCATTGGAGCGCCAGGAAATATTGAATCTGTTACCCAACAAAGGAGTTGATGCGAATCCCGTTCACATCAAAGAAAATATAAATGATTCTGTGATAGCTCTGCTTCTTGAGCTACGCTATGGAAAAGAAAAGATCAGACTAAGAACTAGCCGGAATACAAAGCTCAAGGTTGAACCACTAAAAGTGTCACAAATCTTGAAAAGGAGTCAGTGGATGAACCGGAATTGACAGAAGAGTCGGAAATCGCTAATGATAGCATAGGCGAAGAAGAATTTGATACAGAAGACTTTGATACAGTTGCCTTAGGAGAAAATGAAGAACCTAAATTAGTTATATGTCCATCAATGAAGGAGACTCTATAGTTGTAAAATGTAAGGATCTGGAAAAAAAATTTAAAGAAACTAGCATAGTGTATCCTTATGAGCTGATCAGCCAACTTCAGAATCCCGTGGAACTGCGATTTGGCCGCCTAAAATTTTCAAAAAATGTTTTTTAATTTTTCTTTGTGAATAAAAAGTTTTTTTTTTAACATACTATGTGTCTCAGTTCACTCTAAGGCTTTTAGAAAGTAATACACCATTTATTATATATGGTATATCACTTCACCCACTTACCTAGGGTGAAGTGATACAAGGGATTTTTTTTTTTTTAATGAAATAGGTAAAGATTTTTAAAAATAAAATTTGATCATATGATTAGATAGTCCGAAGGTAGATCAATAAAATAATGAGTATAAAGTCGATTAAAAATAAAATCACTTCTCCCCGTTTCACGGTAATAAATGTGATTCTACATCGTCCGTGCAGCTTAGGAAACTTCTATTTTATCTTCATTATGTCAAAATCGTAAGATTTAATAACATAAGTGGTTAATATTTTGTTCTTAATTAAAGAAGTATAAATCAAGAAATACTAGAATGTTTACCCCGGTTTATACATGATGTAAATCCCTCTTTACTTTCCACGAAATATTTCAAGAGAAAATATTTACTTAAAGTAATTTTTGGTCTCAATTTTACTCGCATCTCGAATATTATATGTTGAAGTATTCCTCAAATAATTAGAAGTAAAAGAGGTACCTAATCAAGATTTCACTTTCATCCTCATCAATGGTATAGAAACAGAGGGTGAAATAAAGGTGAGGTAAATTCCAATAACACGGTGGCGTTGGTGATTGTCTGGTTGCCTAGCAACTTTGTTGTCAAGCACCTAAGCGCATGAAAATCAGAGCTTTTCATGTCGGCTACATTTAACTCCAACACAAATTTCATTGTGCAATTGGTTTATTGAAAATACTGAGATTTAGTCATGTTTTTGTTAAATAAACGTATCAATGTATAAATATTCGGGTAGTTGTACGATTAATCAATGACAAGTATTTTAAATCGGGAATTTAATCAATTTGTATCTACATTTACATTATAATGGGGGAGTCGAGATGAATTCCTGATAATGGATTATTTTGATACTACTTGTTTATACTTTTCGAGTGGTGACGATATTTGTCAGGATGAAAGGTGAGTTAAAACAATTAAATTGGTTCACAAACATTCACATTTTCCTCTTAATCATTTTTTAAATTTTAAATAAACCGCGTTGTCTGTACAACTGTTTCAGTTGTTTGTAAGAAGATGGCGCTAAAATTCAGTGTTGGTTTAGTTATTCCAAAAATTATTTTAAAATGGTATTTTACTGAGAATCAAATATCATAAGAGGTTTAAATAAAATGAGGAATTACATTTCCTTCGTTTTATACCAAATAATATGCATGTATAGGAACGTTTCTTCTAAAAATTGGTGTTACAGTGACAGGTGTACGTCACTTTCATGTCCATGTTTTGCCCATAACCTTGAATTGGACCAATCAGTGATCGAGCCTGGGTCTAGCAACCAATAGAAATGTTGGTATTACCAGGGTCAACAAATTCTTCTGAAATAGCCGACTTTTCAGGCGGCCATGTTGAAAACAACCTTCATTGAACGTGTGTTTAAAAAATAGTATATTTATATGTTTTTACCTAAAATGTAATGAAAACAATATCTTAAGTGTGGTGTTTGATTCCGTTAAAATACTGATGTTTAGTGTTATATATCGGCCGTGATTATAATGACAATAATCATGTTTTGATATCACGAGACCTTGAGTTGTGTTTGGCTTCTTCACAAATCTTTTTGGAATTTTGGACACGACCCATTATGTATTTCTTTTATACAGGTAAGATAATTGCACTTTCATATTAGGGTTATATTTTTATGTAAAAAGTTAACATCTCTTTTAAAGAATTCCAAACCCTTCTGTTTCTCCGTTTTTTACATATAGGTTAGGTTTATGCAGACATCAACAATGTATATAGGGATATTTTATAACTTTTTTTTAAATTTGTCGTATGTATACTAGAGAATTACTAATTTTTAAATGTTATGCTGTACATATTTGGATTTATTTAACGCAATAAACTAATAAGTCCATATATGTGCAATTCAAAAAGTATTTGAGATCTTTAATGAACATACAATAACAGACTACATAATTATTTAATACATATAAACCCTATCTTCAATATTATGATCTACCTTTTATTTATACTTAAAATCCAATCAACTGCACTCTACTATATTTCTTATTAACTTCTTATTAGCTCTTACTTCAAAACAATTGAGACAAACTTCCTTTGAATTGGTAAGTTTAGGTGTAGTGATTTTGTATTTAAAGAAGTCACCAAATCATTATTTGTGAAGTATTTTGTTCGTTTATAGTTGAATTTAAATCACACAGTTGAACTTCTCAATTCTCAATTTACAACTCATACCAGAGGAACTTTAAGTGAGCATAATGCATAACAATGAAATACCATTATTACGCTGATAACAGTTTGTGAATACTAACTGAAGAACATTTGAAACACCTTCAATCATATTAGTAATACTTTCCATTTATTCCAATATCAAATTAATTACTATTATGTAATGTAGTATTCATCCACATAAAACATATTGTTGTTTCCTACAACACTTGTTTTGATTTGGAATATACTAGAATATAGAAAATTGTAAAGCTTTTTCGCCTTGTAGTACTATATCAGTATGAATGTTATAACACTAATGTTGATCTATTTTCCATCAACTTTGATACTTCTGTTTCTATATTTTGAAGAATTTTGTGGAGATATAGATTATAAATGTTAGTGTATAAATTAACAATAGTGATGGCAGAATACAATCCTGTAACACTACTTTCTAGATATGTAAAACCTATTTATTTTGTTATTGCTAGTAGTTTATTTATTATAAAGAACACAGAGGCCCTTATTTTGGATCTAGCAAATGAATAATGAAGTTATTTAGATGAAAATTGTTGAATATAACATGAATGAGAGAGAAATCAAGATGATAAATGTTGAAAACAAAAGAAAAATCTAGTATTAGAGTAAATTATGTTGAAAACGATATAAATAAACTAAAAATAATAAACCAAAGTATGATGCTGCAAGGAACATAATGAATACATTCATAAATGGATTAAACTCATATAGTTTTGCTATTATTATCACCAAACTTCAAATTATAGCGAAGCTAAACAAGTCAGATAAAATGTAAACAGAAAAAGAGAAATCAATAACAAATAAAAAAGAATATTCACCTGAAATCCCATCAAAAAATCAACAAGACTAGTGGACAAAATTGAAAAATCTTACAGGAATATCTATCTTGTAATCTAGTAAAAACTAAAATGATGTCAAGAGTACATTCAAGATTTATTCAAATATTATGGGACAGAACCAGTACTAAGAAAAGATAATATGACAAATGTGCAGATGTAAGAAATGTCTAAGTAGCTAAGAGAAGTAATGTATTTATCTAATCCTTCCATCTGTTATCTTTCTGTCTTAGGTTATGCCAAGCAAATTTGAGTTGAAACGTCTTTCTTTTATTTTGGTTTTATTATGAATGAGCTAATTTTTTCATCAGTGTTTTTCGGTACTGGGGATATTTTGTATTCTTTAGTATATAATAGAGATTAT